TACATACCCAGTAGAAATCGGTTGTATGCATTCTTGAAGGATGCTTTCTATATGAGTGAATTAGTGTGAACAATTCATGGGTAGTCATGAATTTCCATGACTAAATTCAAATTCTAGCGAATTGCAAGCGAATGTACGTGGTCGTTATTTGAAGTACATTTCTTGATAAATTTGAAGGGATTTTTGTAATATTTTCAGTCTTGTACAAAAGTTTTAGTGAACGGACGTGTTGTGCGATACTATTTTCAGCACAAACGGGCTACTTGTTTGTATGTGCCCGTATATTAAAATGTATCAGAAAAGTAGCATTTACATATGGGGATACATATATTGTAAGAATGCTTTAATACTGTTCCATTAATGCATTTTTGTATGCTTGAAACATTAATACAGCCATATGCATACAGCAGTAGTACAAGTGTATGATTAAGGTACGCATACGCTCTGAGAAACCACGCGTGTTAAATGGAAATGAAGGTTCATTTATGTATACTGGCTTGTATACACAGCAGCAAGCTCATGCCACCAACAGCGATGTTGTATGCTTAAGATTTCTACTGGGTATGTAACATGAGTTTATACTATGTTGTTATAAATTCCTTGCAGATGAACAGCAGGAATAGCAATCAGGCTCACAGTTGAGTGTTTATATCAGCAGAAAATTTACAAGTATCTGCTAACGGAGACAAACTAAGGTACACTCGCATTTAAACACCTACACATCAGCACATATGTATGTACATACATACGGTATGTATGTATGTAGGTACGGATGCATATTCATATGAAATATGCTGGCATATCGGAAATTCTTAAGTGCCGAGGCACAAACAAGGCACGGTTCGCCAGGTGAAGATGATGTGTCTGTTGATGATCACTAAATGGAAGAAATCTCAGTGTAAGCTCACTTAATGACTACTAGTTAAATATGTATGTATGTATATCTATGTATATGTATGTATGTACATGAACAGCATACCAGTGTACAACAAATATATGTACGTCAAATCATACATAACGTTAGTTTTGTAGGAAAATATGAACTAAGGACAAGGAGAAGAATGTTGCTATCTTGCAGCTTAGTTATGTACATGTGTAACAAATGCACACACACATACCCTGCAGGGAAAGCCCATACTACATAGTGAATCAAATTTGTAGTTCAGCACGAGTTCTTTATAGGGATAAAACATCACGAGTAAATACAAGTACATGCTCGATAATTTTCGTTCCACGCCAAGTAATTTTGATATCGATTTTTTTTAGCCCAGTACTGAGTAGGTATCGAAAAACAAATACAGGCATCGAAACCCGATGCCAAGGCAAATTTTTCTTCCACTGTTATTCCCAACTTAACTTAACTGCTAATTGCTTCACCAAAGTCGAAAAAATGCGACGTCCACAAGGCCCAACTGTTCGAGTGAAAGAGTAAACTGGATGAATGCTCAGTGCATTCGTTTCAATGCGATGTCAAACTCACTGAGTAACTCTATTAGACTCCGTTCACACAGCAGGTGCTTAACCCGCGTTTTGATACACGGAGTTAATTGCGTTGAACTAAAAAAAAAATGCAACGAAATACGCATAGTTGTAAAGACGCGTTTAGCTCCCGCCATGTGTCTTATTTGCGCTGAGAAGACTAAAGGAAAATACTAAAGGCAGGGAACACTTGCTTGAAACTATAGAAAAAGGGATGCAAAGCAAACTAGATATAAACTGGAAAATTTGGAACTGGCGCGGAACTAAAAAATTGCAGAAAATTACCATTTCCAATGACATCGTCATGTTCATCGCGAACTAGTAGTGGTTATAAACGTACTAGAAGCGAACCAATTCAGTAATAGAGATTTTCCCGACAGGGTACCAACATTTGGTCTCCAAGTCGTTGCAACGTTAAATTGAGCATCGTAAGCCCACCCACATCACTCACATACTCGTTTAAACCACACACACACACACACACACAATTACATTGTTTTCTGCGAAACAATTTCAATTGCTTACACACCGAGATTTACTGCACCCACAACTGACTTGCCGCTTCACTTCACTTTTCCATTCCAGCTAATATTAGCTTGGTCCTACTTGTACTGCTCGAATGCTGCCTTAAATAGTTGTTGTTATTTAGTTAGTAAGCACCAACAAGTTGTGCAATAATTTGCTGGCAATAGCCGTAGAAAAAGTGTGCAATTACCAGAACAAGCTTGGCAATTCCTGGCAACTACTTACTTAAAGTAACTTCACTGGAATTATTTACTCACAGCATTGATGTGCGAAAGCGAAGCAGGGTTATCTCTGTTTTCGAATCTCCATCGTTGTTTCGTTTTTTTTTTGCATTTTCTGCTAATTCTGCTGTTATTGTTGTTGGTTGTTTACTTTCCGACAATGCAGGTGATAATTGCAGGGTTAGTTTGTTTTTGGTTGGATCTAAAAAAAA